AAATGCTAAGCGTACAGTTTGATATAATATTAACAGTATATATATGTCAGACTATTAATACTTTATATCTATATAAGGAATTAACATAATTTATTATTATTTGCCACATGAAATTGGAAGAATTTCGTACTTCGTTCTTGACATCTACTATACTTTCTTAATGGAAATTAATATGAATATGTATTTATGTATGTATTTATGTTTGTATTATTGTGTGTCTGCAACTATGCTTAGTTGCTGGCATCATTAATTACTAAGTTTTGGTTTTACTGATTAAGCTAAATAATTTGAGAGTAGGGAGGAATATGAGTTTTTGTTGTATACAGTTTTAATATAGGAGGTTTTATTGGAAGTAATTGATGAGATTTGTTTTTTGTTTGGAAATGATAATGTTTAATAGCGTGAGTATCGCTGAGGGGAAGAAGTTTATTTTATTTTATTGTTGAGTGGAATATATTATAATGTGTTTCCATATTTTGTTAACTGTATGATGTTTTTGTTTATTTTTTGTGGATATAGGGTGATGATAAGAGATGTAGTCGTTATTTTGTAAGTTTATATAGAAGTCGATGTGTCTAATGGGATTGTTACGGGATTTGTTGTCTTAAGATATATTATTTGGTTTAATGTTATGACAGAATAAGTTTTTGTTAAGTAAGAATAGATAATTTTTCAATTAAGTTGTATATTTACAAATTAACCTTCAGTAGTTGTCATTTTAATATATTAATATTTTAAGACAGTTTTTATAGCTGGAATCTTTGGATAGGGTAGTGTAAAAAAAGTAAAAAAAGTAAAAAAATTAATGTACCTATAGTTTTTCTATATAATATTTTTGTTGATTTTGAGATGTTGATGTAGTTTTTGTATTTGCTAATTTTTTAGTTGTTAAGCATAACTGATTAAATATGCATGGTGTCGCGAGTGCGGTGGATAAATGTAAAAAAACTATATATGTAAAAAACTATATATGGGAATGTGTATTGAGTGTATTAAGTATATATGTATAATACAGTGTTTAGTTTATAAGTTTGAGATGTAAGGAGTTAGCATGAATGTAAGTAGTATTTGAATTGTTTTATAATTATAAGTGGACAGAATCGTATATTACTTTAAACATGACTAAGAATGTATATTTTTCAATCCACTCTGATGAGTCTGGGTAGTTTCCAGACGAAACGCGTCAGTGGAAACTATTAGAAAACTGTTTTCTGTTGGTTTTTTAACCAACACAAGAAATTGCTTTAAGCTTTTTTACTGACAAATTGACGGCTACAAGTTTATATATAGTGTACCAATAATTTTTATATTTATTTTTTATTACATAATTTATATATTATTATTATAACACATTTTTATTTTTTATATGTTATATTTAGGTTTTTAGTTTTTGCAGTTTTTTTAGTTTTTTAGTTTTATATATATATATGTATTTTTATTTAACACGTACGGTTTTTGTGTATATATTTATTTTGTGTTGGGGTAAATTATCCATCACAAATTTTTGTAGGGTTAAGTATTTATATTTATGTTTCAGTGACCATCATCACTGTGTCCGTTTGTTGCTATTTAGCGACATTCTGGAGGCTTGGTTGGATAACCTACTTGTTGGGTTATGTAAGCAAGGTAATGACAAATTTCCAATTGTATAAAGATGATTGGAGGTTTGAGCATTGATAATAATACAAATAAAATCCGATTTTCTCTGTAAATAATAGTATTGCATTAACTTCACCAAGTCTGATATAATATGGACACCGAGATAATGTGAAATACCGAGCTCAAGCAAAACTGTGAAGCATATTATTTGCCAGTGTCCAGCATTGGTGAGACTATTGAAAAAATACTAGGCAATTCATTATTGATGAGTTCTGATAATGTCATGAAAACAACAGAATGGCCGGTATCTATGTTTAACGTGTTTAGATGTGCCCATGGAAAGAGTGGTAATGACCGAAATCTATAATTATTTATTTTGTGATGTATAAAACTACAACATTCCTTTACTATGATATAATAAAAGTGTTGAAATAATTAACTCCACAAATATACAGCAACAAGCAAAGAACGTATTACGGTCTTTGCAAAGAGCGTGACACATATTTGAGGTTTATTAGCAAATCGTAAGAATACGTGATTTATAAATTTGGAATGAAAAAAGTTTTACATTTTGCAAAGACTTTCAAATATGAACAACTAATCAAAGTTTGAACATCATTAAGGATAGAAATTAAACAGTTTTATGTTGCCTGTAATGAATGCATTTTGATAAAAACTGTTTTTCTTGCTAATTAATCAATTTATATTTATATTAATTTTATATTTATATGATATGTGCATTCAACGAGAATTTTGAAGCAGAGATTGTGTATAGATATATATATTCCAAGAATTATGTTATTTTGTTAAAATGTAGGCTTACATACACTTAACACAGATGTAGGTTATTAAAATATTCCGTTTGTAGTATAATTTGAAATACAAAATAATATATATTGAAAGCTTGAGATGTCGTTAATTAATTTTTTACCTCAAGAAGTGTTGAAACGTTCATTTCGCAACGCATATCACGCGTTCATATTTGTGGACGATTTGAACCAATTCAACAGTAAGTGAATTGCCGCAACAGTTTGTGAGCGACTGTAGTTAAAAGCATAAATACTCTTACAGTGGCGGCATTGACTATTGTTACAGGTTTTAAATAAAAGGCAACTTGATTGTATATTAAAATAATCATGAAGATATCAAATCTTTCGAATTTTAAGCTTCTAGATTTAAGTTGATGCGGAACTGGAGGTATTTCTCAACTGAGCTTACTAGTACGAACCATTACGAACTAGTACGATTTTTGTTTTTATGCATAGACTTCAGAAATTCAAAGATAAGCAATCTTTCAACCCTTGTAAATAATGATTTCTTAATTCTATTCGAAAACCATTCTGCAGAACATCACTAACCAAACTGAAAAAGTATGTAGAAACATCTAATATAGATTACTTGCGAAGTCATGGGCCGAAGATAAATGCAAACGGCTTAGTCGGACAAATAACAGAAGTACTAACAGATGTCACGGCCTAAATAGACTCATATAAATAGACTAAATAAACTCAGTTTAATCTGTTTCTTAGGTTAACATTAAGAAAAAGTATTTAATCTAGAACTTGTATTAGGTAGTCGTAATAAGGTCTAACGGGTGCCTCTTAGAACTTTCATTGGCTGAATATGAAAAAATTTATTCGATATGTATTCCTAACTTCTGATTACAAAAATTGAAGGGTTGACATCACACAGAGGTAACCTTTAATAGAAAAGTATTATTTCCTAAGCGTTTCACTGCTGCTTGATAAGACATAGAGTAAATTTCACTGTCAATTTTAGGTTTAAAATCTGACTTAAGTATGAATTAATTCAGCAAACGTAATGAGATAAGCATGACTTAATTCAGCGTTGAGACTTTAAATATGACTATGATATTGACCGTTGATATGACAAAAAGATATCAGATATCAGTTCAAAAATTCAACTATTGACGCAGGTAATTTGAAATTTCCGTAGTAACTATCTTTTTTTTTTCTCTCACAATAATTTAAAAAAGTTTGAAGTTTTTTAAATATGTTTTATTAAAAATCCATTATCGTCCCCGTATTCCATTTTGCACTTTTCGTTAAACACCTGAGTTTTCTGTTATCCAAGAGCGCAAAGCACCGACATAAGTGTAAATTGCTGGCATTTTGGCACCACAACCAAAACCCCAAGATACCAGCCCGAAAAGTTTTCCATCAACAGTCAATGGGCCACCTGAGTCACCTTGACAAGCACTAACTTGACCGCTTGGATGTCCAGCACAAACCATACGATTCGTAATGCCAGGAATGTTCTTTGGATTACAGAAATCGCGACTCCACAATTGCACCTGCGCAAACTTCAGCTTATTTGGCAATTGCAATTGCATATTGACGGCGCCAAAACCACTTATTGTGGCTAAAGTATCGGCAGGATAATTTGACTCACTGCTCGCCAGTTCAATAGTTTGTATGTTGCCACCTAATGGCACGGCTGATTTCAGTTTGATCAGCGCAATGTCATAGTCTTGTGTTTCGGGATTGTATTGTGAATGTCGCACTATGTCAGCAATCTCAAAAGCCTTGCCATCGCCTGCCAACAGATCTGCAGTACCTGCAACAACTCGCATTTTTGTGGGGCTTTGGCCCATGACACAATGTGCTGCTGTTATCACAACCATATCCGAAATCAATGAACCACCACAATGGTGGCGTTGATTTAGCTGCAACGATATTTGGTATGGAAATTGTCCTGACTGTGCGTACTGGCCACCAATGATACGTGATCCGCAGGATATCTGACCAATTGCCAGAATGAGCAATAAGATTGGAAACATTTTTTGTTTGAACTTAGAATTGGTTAATTCTCCAAAGAAAAAGTTGATTTGTTAACTGAAGCAATTTTTGGTATGAATTTGCCAACTCGTACTTGGCTTTATATACGGTGTGTGAGGCAGCCGTTAGGCCTTATCACACGTATCTAACGCAAGTTCTAGGCTAACGACTTGCTGACCCTGTTAGTTTTGGTTTATGGGTGCTTGCGATGACGTTTGTTATCTGCGAGAAAAAGTAGACTGCAACCTCCTCTTTTCGCAAAAGATTCACGCTGTGCTCAGCGCTTATCGTACCGCTTTGTTTACCTACTTGCTTACCTGTGCGGATTTGACTTAAATTGGCTCAAGTCGACACGCGTTATTGACCCGATTTATGTGCAAATTCCTCTTCGCGAAAACATTGAGAAAGTGTTTAAGTGTTGAACAATAAAACGGTTTTATTTTCAGTTAAGACGATAACAACTTTTATTTGAACTAACAAATTTAGAATTTATATGTTTCGTAGGTTTTTTATTGTGTTCTGTACACTATCTGTAAACTATTTGGACATCCCATACTCTGCGCCTGATTTCCTTTATTTTATTGTTTTCTTCTGAATTCAAATTCCAATGGCCATTACTGATTACCCAGACATTACGCCACGGATTTCTCAAATGGTGGCTCTGACAGGCAACAAGATATTCCTTAAATAAATGGTAATACTTATCAAAACAGTAGAAGAATTAATAATATCTATATTTATGATTTTTTTAATTTAATACTGGTATGTTTAAATACTCGAAAAAATTCTGCAAAATCATGTAAACCTAAAAATTATAAATCGAAGGTGACACACAGAACACTCCATAAAAATAAAACAACTGATTACATACTTGATCTTACGCATTTCTCGTATTCTAACTAAATTGCCATACTAACTAATAGACATGATTTACTCTATCTACTCTATCATTGCCCGACACTTGACAGAAGTTGTCTATTAACAATATGTCTTCACATTCCAAAATTTCTATCCGGCACTTCATATGGAGAAAATGGAAATATGTTCATTCAAAATCTTGCAATCAGTTGCTGTAAGACTTTACGACTTCTCTGTGATATCACAATGCGATGACGAGATGAGCTGAAACTAGCATATACCTAGTGTCAGTGACGTGTTCAAGAGGTGAGATTTCAGTGGTTAGAGCCGCTCTTTATAATATAATCTGTAGATAACACACTGCCAAAAAATATATAGTACAAAGTATATAGTAGAATCTCTTTCCACTTAGTACAATACTGGTAACGCCACAGTACTCTTCCTTTGGTCTTCTTACAAAGGAAGAGAGAAGCACTGTTCCTCCAAGAGAAATCTACTTTCTTACAGCCAACATCAACTTTCTTACAATTCGATAACTTAACTTATAGGTCGTTTAAAAATTCAATATAAAATATAAAATCAACACAATAACAGATAAGGGTTTCAGCTATTGTCATATGGGTGCGGACCGAATTACACAAAACGGAAAAAGTTTCTTAATTCTCAATTTTTCAATACTTGGCAGAATCTATTTGTATTCTTCAGTTCAACATATATTATTCTTATGAATATTTACCATATATTTCCTCTTTACTTACAGCTTGGCCAAAATTAAAAACTTTTTCACAATCTGCCGCCAAATTATGGTTTGATGCGACGTGAGTTATAAGCAACGGCTCAATACACTAAAATAATAGAAAATATATAAGTATTTCATGAAGAGAATGGCGTTTATAAGAAGTGTACTGGAATTGGTGTTGTACGGCTCTGCAAACGAAACTCAGGGTCAGCAAGACGGCAATAGAAGTTAAGGTGCGCACTTATAACAGCTTCACCACTTCCGATATTCTGAAAATAATATATTAAGTCATCTAATGAATTACCTTGGATTATTGTTACTTTTCGATGTAATTATTTACCTTGGCAAAGCGTACACCCAGTGGCAAACTAGCTTCGCCTCTTTTGTATGATAAATAGGGAGTATTTGATAATATTTGCAGGTCAATTCTTTTAGGTGCAGAATACAAAAACATTCTTTCAGTTGGATGTAAAACTTCCAAGCGAAAGTGTTGCTCGT